GGGGGGCGGTCTCCTAGAGGGAGCAGTGGACAGTGGCCAAGAAAACATGGGCACCACGATCCTCTAGTGCAGTGGGCATGGCGTGCCATGGAGCATGGGAATAGGCTGAGAGCACAAAGCCTTTGACTTGTCTTCTGGGAACAGTCACAGCACTGCGTAGACAGTTGCCTTCCTATTGCTTGGCAGGTTCAAGCCACTTACTGTCTCTTAGGTGAGAGAACAGACTGAGTCATGTATGCCAGAAACCTAATCACATCTAGGACTGCAGGGGATGGCACCAGGGAGGGGCTGGTGTGAGGGGAAAGGCCACTCATTTCCCAAGGTCCTGGGCCTCCCCCAGGCTGTGCCTGCGTCGCCGTCTTAGATTCTTCCCTGCTCTGGGCGCCACTTTTCAGCTGGCTGCCTGCCTGCCTGTGGACTCCTCAAGGCCAGAGGTGACCAACCCCTGCTCGCCCCCAGCAGCCCTCTGGGCTCAAACAGCAGCGATGTTACACTTTCAATGTAGTGAGACAGGGCGTAAGTTATTGTTTGCATTAAAAAGAATCATGTTCCCTGTGTACATTTACAAAAAGGAGATGTCTCTGGATTGTATGGGAATAAAACTTGTTTGAAAATTTGGAACAGTGCTGCTGCCAGCTTATTTTTCTGGTACTTGTATTTTCACATGTTAAATGATCTTTATATATGTTGAATTAACAAATATTTTGAGTTTCCTGAGAAAAACAAAACATTAATGGTATTGAAATGTGTTAGTAGTATGGCCATGTGCCCAAAATTCTGTTTTGCAGCCAAGTGGAGAACTGTATGTAAAGAAAGTATAACAGTCATTTCTTTGTACTTTAGGGGCTTTAACCAAGACATCCTCTAGTTGGTGTTAGGAATGTTTGCTTAATTTCCAGACTTTTTTTCTTTTTTTAACACGTGGGTATTTTGAGGCTTCACCCCAACTAGTGCATGGTCAGCCTTCCCCTGAGGCTGAAGCATCTCTGACTGAGGTGTTTTTGTTTGGTTTTGTTTTTTAAAATCATGTATTTGCTACAAAGTATTGTACTTGTCTCAATGGGAATGGTGTAAAAACTGAAAAGGCCTTATGTGATATGTATCATAGTTAATAAATCAGTCTTGTAAAAAACCAGGCCTGAGAGACATGAAGGTAGCCCCCCCACCCCCACCCCCCGCCTGGGCCCTGAGCACACCCCAGCTCGGGCCAGCTGGCTGGGCTCCTGCCCGCAGGCCCTGGGACATTGGTTCCATCCACAGAAGCAGTTCAAGGACCGCCAAGCAGGAGATCTCTGGCACAGGGAGGGAGGAGGCTTTCTCCAGTAGAGCTGGCCCACAGGAAGCTTCTGGATCATTCCACCTCCACCTGGGGCAGCCCCAGCACTTGCCTGCCCTCCTCTCTAGCACAGTGGCCTGCTTCCCCAAAATCTACCTGTTATTCTTGTCATTTATTTCAGGTGATAATCCAAAGCCCCACCCATGGACCCCTATGGCACAGGGACCCAGCAGGCCTGGGAGACCGGAAAGGAGAGAGGCTCTGTTACCTCCCTTGCTCAGGACAAGGCGTCTGAGGATGAAGGTTGGCTGCCTCCTGAAGAAGCCTGTCACAGGCTCGATCTGCCCTGTGCCCACTCCAGCCCCCTTCCATCTAGGCTCCTAGGTCATCCATCCTAGGTCCACCTGTAGCCACCCCTTTCCTGTTCCCACGGCCCCCATCTGGCACAGGCCCTAATCCCAGCTCATCTGGACTCTTGTGGATACCCCCACACCCTAAATGGCCTCCCTGCCCTCACTCTTGTCCCTTCCAGTCCATCTTCATACCCCAAGATTATTCCAGAAGGAAGACCTGGCTTTGTGTTAACTGTGGCAGGAGTGGGAACTAACAAGACGCCTCTCTCCCCTCCTGTGCCTGTAGTAGACCCGGCTCGATCATGCCTCTCCCGCAGGACTCGGGCCCTGCACATGTCTTCAGGACACCGCTGGCAGTCTCTCCAACAGGTGCCCGTGGTGGACATCCACGCTGGGACCCCGCACTCTGGATCCAGCCTGCCCACTTCCATCCCTCCAGTCGGACCCCAGCTTCAGTGAAAACTGTCTCTTTGAATGTGCTTGGTTGCTTCCCCGTCCAGATCGCCCTCCTGGGTTCCTTCTGTCTGCGCCCCGCCTCCCAGCCTCAGCTCTGCCCATCAGCTCCTCACTGTCCTTTCAGGCTTGTCCTCCAGGAATCCTTCCCTGACCCTATCACACGTTGATTCAAATTGTTCTTTGTTATATATTTTTTAATGTTTTTAATCCTCACTGGAGGATATTTTTTCCATTGCTTTTCAGAGAGAGTGGAAGGTGGGAGAGAGATCAATGTGAGAGAGACTTCGATTGGTTGCCTCCGGCTCATGCACCAACCCCTAGGCCAGGGATTGAGCCGGCAACCAAGGTACATGCTTTTGGCTGGCATCGAACCTGGGACCCTTCGGTCCACAGGCTGATGCTCTAAACACTGCACAAACCGGCTAGGGCAATTTGTTCGTTTTTTTAAAAATCACTACTGTATACAGCTGGCATTCTATGGGTGCTGACATGAGCCTGACTTTTTCTCTAGTTCATGATGTTCAAGTCATGTGGACTTCTATACTTGTACCTCTCAGCCACCAGCCACCCAAGTTGAGAATTTGGGGAAGGCAGGGCCTGTGGCTCCCCCATATGATCTCCCAGGATGCCCAACAACATACCTTGGACCTGATGCTCTGGCGAACGCAGTGGTCTCAACCTTAACCTTGACGAGCTCCATCTACAAGCTGACCTCTCCCACGTGACTCCAGCCCAGACCTCCACTCCAAGCACCACTCATATCCGCCTGCTGGTGACACTCCACCTGGTGGCTCCAGTGTGACACCCACAGCTTAACTGCTGACCCCTTTCTCCAAAC